TTCTTGGTAAAGTCTGAAAAGGGTCACTTGTCAAGTCAAGAGAGCTGAGACAATTTTATTTGCATGCCTAACAATGAAACTAGGAATGAAAGACTGAGTAAAACTGTTGGCTTTTAAAAAAAATCACTGTTAAAATCAGGTTGAAGTGCTGGTTGGGAGTCCTCCAGCAGACATGGTGGCACTGGTGTGGGGAGGACTCTGTGCCCTGCTGTGACAGCTTGTGGCAGAAATCAAAGTAATGAAACAGGAAAGCTGAACTTTCCCAGTCTCTGGAAAGTCAAATGAGAGCAGGAATCCATCACTGTTCAGAAAGTCCTGCTTGCTAATCCTGTAACAGTGGTTGGGCAACATGTTTGGAGTAATTTCTGCACTATATGACAAACTTCCAACAGGCTGACAGCTGAATTCTGGAGTGGAAAAACTCTGCTATCCTTTGGGGATGAGCAGCACCTGGCTCTACATTTCCAGTCTTCAGGAGTTGGGCAGCAAAACTTGCAGATGGCAACTATGATAAATAATTTGTAAAACATTACAGTAGCTTAGAAATAATGTATCTGGGAGGAGAAAGGGCATTTCAGGTAAGATCTAACATACCATTTTTATGGAACTCTATTTTGTTGTTGCATGATATAGAAGAAAAAGCCTCTTGGGCTGCTCCTGACTTCCTCCCTATACCACTTAAAAAAATAATAATAAATAAAAAGTCAGGAAAATCCAATAAAATTACTTTGCCTCATGTTCTAACACAAGCCAGTTTAATATAGAAAATACTATAATCAGAGTGACCAACTTTATTCCCATAAATAGAAAATGCCAGTTAGTCACAACCTACAGCTGCAGTGCTCACAGTTATAATCTCTGGAATAATGACAGAGGAGCATGTCAGGAAAGTAAGAATCATGAGTTTTCCACAAAAACCATTAGACAGCTTGATCAGATCTATTGGTATTTATACATTTCTTATTCAGCACACTTCCTCTTGTTTTTGTTTGGGTTTTTTTCTCTGAGAAAAAAAGACTGGGTTTTTTGTTAAGGAAACATTAAGTACTGGATGTGGTAGTTGGCACAAAGCTCTACCAAATATTCTAAGGACAATTTGTTTCTTCAGTTTGTGGTGGCTTCACCATTTCATGTTAGCAAAGATTTTTCACGCAGTACTGATGTCTTCCTACTTTGATGACATCTACATTTAGAGGGTGTGGATAACTATTTTTAACAATAATAAGTAGTGACAAGGGGCAAGAGCACACCTTTCCTCTTCAAAAGGAATATATAAACTATGGATGCTGATGCTGTAAAATAAAACCAGTGGCCTCACTTTATCTCCAAATAAACCTCCAGAATAGGGGGTGCTAGACAGATCATAGCCCAATCTCAAGTAAGTATTTCACTATCAATCCTAGGTGAAAAATGCTTTTTTTTACTGATAAGCAACACATTAGCACAGGAAAGACTCAAAGCTTCCTTGGAAGCAAACTATTTCTGGTTCACTAAAACCAATACTTTTTATTTTTAACTAAGTGTTGAAAATATTTTTAAAAAAACTGCCAGGCAAGCCTGAAACACCTGGACCAGATATCCTGCTTTGCTGTCTACAGTCTATTTAGGGGTGCTTCAGAAGGTCACTTATACTTCAACTACTGCATTATATCACCACCTAAATGTTAAAGAGAGAGATCAGCAAATAAAACTGGTGCATTGTCATGGCCTGGCACTGGATTTCTACTCCCAGGTGTCAGGCGTCATGTTGGATTTAAATTTAAAGGACCTGAGTGATTAAATCTAGCTATGAACCCATAAGAAAAGGACAAACTGACAGAAGCTCTGAGCTCTAGACTTTTAACTATGGAAACACAGAACTGCACTGAGTATCACGGGCTTAAGGCATTTTAGTGCTGAACAGCAGTGACTCTGGCACCACTAAAATGCAAAGTGTGCAACTTCAGCCATTACAAATTGCATTACATGAAAAAAAAACCCCACAACCTTTCAAAATATCTGCCTAACAGAAGGTCAAAATTAATGAATCCTGTAAATATTTTTTAAAGCTAAAATCTTCAGACTCTTTCAAAGTATGTCCTTACATATTTCACAATTCCTAAGTCAAAACTTGGGAACAAAAATAGTGTCTTTATTGATAGTCTGCCACAAATTGCTGAATCAACTCAGAGTTAGCAAAAAAAAAATGTATCTGCTACATGAGGAGATCCTGAACATTACAAGCATATCTGCTAAAAGTGGATGATTTCTTACAGCAGGTAACAGCTGTTCTGTTACCAGCCCTCGCTATAGTGTGATATGCAATTAAAGTACTGCTTAATACACACTGTATGAGGCGCAGCAGAATCACTGTCTCTTCATTCCTGTAAACACTCAGAGATGTACTCGTTAATGTTAAACCTTCACTGACTTCGGTGGGACTCCTGTCACTTAGGTGAGCTCGTACACAAGGTCTGCAGGACTGGAGTTTATAACTGCAAAAGCAGTGACAAGGGGGGATGAGAAGAGACCTACTACAATAGGAATTCCAACAATCCAATGCATCCATCTTACTGAATGAAATCTGTATCTTTACATACTATTAAATGTTAAAAACAAACAAAGATTTTTAAGCACAAAGTATATATTTATACCAAATAAAACAGCTGAAAAAGTATTACATAAAGAAAAATAATGTAACAGAACGTACTTAAGTACCTAACTTACAGTCATGCTCATATCTAAAAGTAACATTGGTAACTAATATATATAATTTTTGACAAGGGTGCATTTAAGAGTTCTCTAACATACAACATTCTAAATGTGGAGAGTATTTTTTCCAAGATACAGAAAACAAATTATTTTACACAGGCACACCTGTTAATTTGTAAAAAAAAACAACAACCAACATGCTTGTAAGTGAAAAGGTCACTTTAGTACTAATTTACCAGATATGTGAAAGCTATGTAGTGTTAATCATGTTGAAATTGTCCCTTCTCTTTTTGCATTGGTGAGCGCCAACACTGAATGGTACAATATTTGATCCATATGGTTTACTGACACTGCAACCTGTCTCCAAGCAGTAGCCCTGCCCAGATGTTGAACAGCACAGTACTGTACAGCCCCATCTGTCTGCATGTAGTGTATTTATAACTAAAAGCTATTACAATTATTACAATGATTTCTGTTTCAATATATACATCAGTATAAAATACTACCCAAAACACTTTCGCATTTCAAACAATTGTAACCACTTCATCAAACAATGCATTTGCAGAATTAAAAAAAAATAATAACCCAAATTAATGTTGATTGCCAACAGTACAGCATCTCTGTGGTATGTTTCCTACTAAATGAGAGAACGGAAATGTATTAAAATCCATTAAAATAAGTATCACAAAACATAATTAATGTTAGAGCTGTTCAAGGATTCCCAGTTTGTCAGTATCTAACCTAAGCAGTGCTGCCCAAATACAGCATAAGCCATTTAGTGTTTCTACAATAAGAAGAAAATATTCAAATATTAAAGCTGTGACAAACACACAAAGGCAAGGAAAGAAAATTTGTTCTGTACTCATCCCTGTTGTAGCAAGGTACAGCAAGTCAAGAGTTTGCACTCAATGCATCACCGTATGTGCTTTATACCTGGATACAACCATGGAAGACAACAAATGGAATCAACTCTGCATTTCCTTGCTGTTGTGGTTTTATGTCAGACCATTCAAGTTGTAACAACTTAGTGTCTTGTTTTTCCCAAAGGGAAGAAGAGAGAAGAATGGAATTGTAAAAATGCTACTAAAATCCCTATCTTGGACACAATATGTGGCTTTAGGAGCTACTGTGTCATTGCACAATATAAGTGGCCTATTAATCACTGAATTACTGGTGCAGCAGAATATATTTGTCATGTATTCTGAAAACTGTTTTTTTAAAACCTGCCTGTATCCCATAACAAACCACAACAAATTGTGTATTTCAAACACTAATAACCTTATGTAAAGTAGTAAATATATGTTTATAGTAGCAAATTTCAAATCTCTGCCTCTGCTGCTTCAGTTTTTAAAATGAGACTTGGCTCAGTTTTCATTCTTTACGTTACTCTAAAATAGAACTATTTCTGAAGCATAAAAAAAAATCCAAATTATAATACGGGATATTTTTGTCTTGTTTTGCTGATTCGTTCCTAACTTGAAAAATAATCAATGTTTTTTAAAAAGCACAAAACAAAAACAACCCCCCCAAAAAAAATCTCTCCCCAGGAGAAGTCCCTGCTAGCTGAGATTTTTTTCAGGACCAAGTTTCATGGTTACAGTATCTTTATAGTCATGTTATACACCCTTGAAAATAAAGGCTCACACTGAGAATGGTGACAGGCCCTTAATTATAGAGGTGTTAACTAGTGACATTTTGTTTCATCAGAAAAAGAAAAAAAAACAAAACAACAGCCCCACAAAACTTCATAGCTTATGCTGAAAGTTTGATTCATGCTCATTTTGTTCATTTAAAAATACTCTTTGGAAACTGTGTCAACTCCTGCAGACAACTTAGTGATACATCTTTTCCTGTTAAAATAAAGATAATTCATATTCATCTCTACCCCATGCTAAGCTCTACTACTAATATACACTTCATTACCTGCTCATGTCACCATCTAACACATATCTTTACATTCTTCTACATAGTGTCCAGGGCTTATTTTTCACCAAACAGATTTTGATAACTATTATACTTAGAGGAGTTTTCATTGAGAATTTTTTTGTGTTCTAGCCTTTTTATTGCAACTTAGAGTGACCATAATAGTTCAGACTTTCTCCATGCTAACTTGAGAGAACAAATTCAGAGTTTCTTCCCAGGTGAAGAATTTTTAAATCTAAACTCATTTAGATATCAAAACTGAAAACCAGGAGAGAGATTAGATGCACCTGTCATTTTAAAATGGTTTCTGCTACTTTAAAATGCATTTTAAAATTGTACATAGGACACTTAGGATTGTAACTTTTACATTGCTGCAACTGGAATCTAATTCAAAATATTGCAAATAAACATGAAAAATAAGCCACTGGTCATGAATTCTAATGATTACATTCAAAGCTAGCCTTTAAAAAAATAAAAAAGTTACAGGCAAAACATATCGGTTTATGTACTCACTAGCTTATCAGGCTACAATAGGCATGTTTTAAGTATAAAAAAAGCAGACAATTCAGATTTAAATAAGACTACATGAAATCAGAAAAAAATGCTTAGATTTCACTATTTTTTTAAAAAAAGAACACCTATTATTACTTCCCATTCTACAGCTACAGTTAAACCAACTAACAAAAATAATCAAACTATTTTTGACAAACAAAAGTTAGGCTAGTGTATGTGGCAACAATCAAAGTTCATATATGTTTCTATGTAAAATGACTCATGATTTACTATAACATAAAATATGAACAAGAGCACTTTGTGACTAATGAAATAACTACTAGTGGAAACACTTAATGCCAAACAGTCTTCAGCCTTCCTTTAACTTGTATCTCCAAATCAGTATTGACTTCTTTTGACCAGATACATCATTTTTGGCTTGTCACCCCAGTATGTCACTTTTTACCACTTGCCACAGACAGCAGGAGACAACTAGCTGAGCAAACTACAAGCAGTGACATGCAGAAATTAATTCTCAAATCTGAGTGCTTAGATAAAATGATATGCAAGCGCACACTAGGACAAAAGGAATGGCATTCGTCATCCAAATAGGCTCATCATCCTTCCCTACCCCCCTTGAACAGTAGTTAGAACAGCAATAGAAAAAGATCAAGAAGATGTCTGTTCTTCAGAGTCAACTGTGGAAAGAAGTCAGCAATATATAACAGCAGCGATGGACAAGGAAGAGCAAAACGAAAGAATCTTGTTGGATACTTGTTCATTTACTTTTTCTGAACACAAGCCCAAGTGTACCACATTGGCTTGTTCTGAACTTCAGATACAGATGTCCTATTCTCCTTAGATCCTTCACAGATTTAGAATTCAGTCTCCCTGAGGCCTCTATAACCAAGTAAGAAAACTCTCTTTATCTAGCTTGGTGGCTGCCAAGACAGATTCCATGTCATTAAGGATGTCAGAGCTCAAAGCCTCTTGCAGACTTGGCATCAGTTCTTCTCCTTCTATATTCATCCCATCTCCTTCCAGTGTCCCAAGGTCCACATTCGTCCCTGGAATGGCTTCAAGGTAGTCTGGGAAACGGTTCTGATGGGACGGTATGTTACTTTGGCTGATACTGTCACCTAGTTGTAACACAAAGCAAGATGGATATTAAACATAATGGAAGTAGCAAACCCACAATTTATCAGGACAACTGATTAAATGTTAATCCGATACCTCTTGCATCATACAAGCAGCATGATGCATACAAATCCATCACAAAAACCAAAGATGACTGCATGCAGATGTACAATGAACCTGCCTTTGTTTCCACCTTTTCACCTGCTGACCCAAATCTCTACAGATCTTTCATGTCATTTAGCATATTTTATTTGTTATGCTCAAATAAAAAGACAATACAGAGTCAAATGTTGGTTTGGAGCAGTATTAGCAACAGTGGATGAGGTACTGTTCTTCGCTCTGAACAAACAGTATTACTTTAAAAGCAAATAGACACTCAAATACAACAGGAGTGGTAATATTTATAAGCAATTCCCCATCTTCCCAATAACAGTGGTATGAGTATGATTTTCAGAAATCTAACTATAATATTTCTATTACAGAAATCAAAGAAGGTGGAAAAACAGTCAGAGAAGTATGACAGCTTCTCCAAGTTGCTTGTTTTCACTGCAAATGGAAACAAGTATATCTGGCAAACGTGCATTAAGGATGTCCACAAAAACAGACCTGTATCCATCTCATCAACACTGTTCAGGAAGTCATCGGGGGTTCTGGGTACACTATAACTGCTCATACTAAGTCCACTATCTGTGCTTTCGTCTCTGGAGTGATAGGTTCCACTGTAAACAGAAGAAAGGGGATTAAAAAAATGAGGGTAGAGTATGAAGAAATTAAAATAAATGCTTAGTTTTTAACCAACCCAAGGGCTTCAGAACACTGCTGTCAGGAGAAATGCTCTGTTCTAATAAAAAACTGAAGCCTTTGTCCGTGCAAGACACCTGGGTTTTACTTTATGCAGACCTTTTCCCATTAAAACCATACTATTTAGATTCAATTTCATTTGTTGAGAGACCATCTAAGTAGCTTAAAAAAACTGCTTGTGTTTGGCATAGTTTTAAACTTTTCACACTCACCCACAACTAAAAACCACTGGAAGCATCTCACGGATAGTCCCTAATGATTATAAATGTAGTAACAACAGTGGTGTAGCCTTTCACACTTCTCCAAGGATTAGAAAAAAAACATTACTGACTACTAATGTCTTCATATTTAATCAACCACTGAAGTGTATTTTTAGGTCACTGCTGTTGTTATTAATAGGAGCTATTATTGGAACTCCTTGAGCAATTCTTCAATTGCTTCCCACTGTTGCATTACTACTAGTTCAGTCATACACGTCATGGCAAGAACGTGCCCTAATATAAATCAAATACTGGTACAGAAGCCATCCTGTAAACAAACACTGCTCAGAACAATCTTGCTGACAGAACAGTTAACAAAACAGTGATGGCATGGGGCCTCACATGCTTTCCCTTCCTTACTGCCATCTTACTGAGTAAGCAGGAAAGAAAGCTGCAGCGGGAAATCTGGGATGGGGTGGAAGGGGAAAGTAGGCTGATGTATTGAGTTTATACAGCAAGGTTTTTATAGCAGAGGGCAGCAGGGATGGCCTCTGTGAGAAGATACCAGGAGCTAACCCCATGTCAGGCACAGCTGGTTCCAGGTAGCTCCAAAATGATTCTGTTGCTGCCCAAAGCTGAGCCCATCAGTGACAGTGGGGGCACCTTTGTGATAACATACATAAGAAAGGGTAAAAAACCCACTGTGCAGCAGCTGGGAAAAAGGAGTGAGAAAAAGTGAGAGAAGCAGCCCTGCAGTGAAGGAGAAGGAGAAGCATCTCCAGGCACCAGAGCAGAGGTTCACCTGCAGCCCAAGGAGGACCACAGTGGAGCAGAGATCCACCCTGCAGCCTGTGGAGAACCCTGTCCTGCAGCAGGTGAACATGCCCTGAAGGAAGCTGCAATCCATAGAGAGCCCATCCTGGAGTAGGTTCCTGGAAGGAATTGCTACCCGTGGAGATGAACTCAAGCAGGAGCAGGTATTCTGGCAGTGGCCTGCATAAGCAGGTGTAGAGATACATGATCATCTTCCTCTCTCTGCTTATCCTTATAATACTCAGGCTTCACAGAACATTTTCAAAACCTTTATTTCTTCAGGTTGTGGTAGCATACAATGAGAGTCCTTACTGATTTTCCAGCTTGAATACTAAATGAAGATCAACTTGACTTACTGCTCAGATTAGCACTTGAAGCCATACTGATCATTCTTATAAGGTGCTCATAAAATATTCAGCATATGCCTTTTTATCAAGCATGAAGAACCAAACAGATGCAGTTTGAGAAGCCATTCAACATTGGATGCAAGCTGAATGCCATCAGCCATGACTACAGATATATACCAATTAAATTTCACAAAGACATCTTTGCCACACAAGAAAGAAACCTAACATTCCTCTTTAAACATTATTTATTTATTTATTTAAAAATACTAACGCCACACATTTGATAACAATCCTAATAATTAAGCTACTTATAACTTATGTGAAAAAAAAATGCTGGTGTACTTTGCAGGACAATATTCTAAAACCAGAACTGAAACTATGCGGAACTAAATCAATCTAGTTGAGAAGGCTTTTTGGCTGCTGCTCTCACACTTGGAACATCCAGCTCTTCTCTTCAAGTCACTCCTTCATACACATTTCCTCTTTCTTCAACAAGGATTTCTTAATTTAGCAGTCACACCATCCAGAATTACTGCATGCAGCTAAACTGCATTACCCAAAATAGAGTAAGATGCTTCTTCAACCAGTACTTGTTAAAATATGTGTATACAAAAGAAGAAATCTCAATTTAGGAGTTAAACAGAGAATTACCGTCGCTACCAATATAAATCTAATAGATGAAAATACATAAACATACAAACCAGAAGGTGAAACAGTCTAATAAAGTTCATGTAAATTAAAACTCTACTGTACATTTTCTCAAATAGCTCCAATGTAGCAATTATTACCTGAGATTTTTTGGATGTTCTGATTATGTAGGCAGTGGAAAATATTCAACTACCTAAACCTTGGATATCCAACTTTGGTAAATAAAGTTAGAGGGACTGGCTCACCAGAAATATAACCTATAAAGATAGAAAGAAGCCTTTCTTTAAGTCTAAATTTTAATATAAGGGATATCAAGGAGATCTCTAGGGCAAAACTATTGGACTGCTGTACCTAATTCAGACATAGAAACGAATATCCACAAATCTTCTTTTTAAAAATACCTTTCCTTTATCCCTATGCCAGAACTAAGAGCAGTGATACACATAAAATTACCTGGCAGGAGACAGTTCACACAAAAATGCAAATCAAGGTATCCTGAACTCAAGTCAGGTACAGTGTGCTACTCTCACAGCAGAACAACACTAGCACAGACAGTACACTTGAAGCAATGAGAGAAAAAGCCCAAGAAAAAATGATGTTATTTACATAATCTAAATGATATGAATGACAACAGATTGCACTGGGAAGATGGATGGTATGCTCTTGCACCATCTCCACTGAATTTTACTAATTTTGAGAATTAGAGTGAGGATGGAGTACATGAAATGCTGGAGACATCTCCTGGAAAAGGCAGAAAATAAGACAAACTTAAGCTAAGCTGATGTAATATCAAGAACTGGGAAAATTACATACAATGACAATACAACCTATGGGATGAAGAACACAAGTGTGAGATACCAGCAACATTTAGTTAAATGAATATGGGAAGGGATTTACAATTGCAGTAGAAAATTACAAAGATTTTAACAGCTTTCCAAATCTCAAATTTGGCAGGTATTTAAGCTTGCCATACTCCATAATCATGCCAGTTCTAACATGATGTGGACTTCTTGGCTTACAAACAGGTTCAAAACTGTACTGGTGGGCAAACCATAGAAGTTAGAACTTATACTGAAATAATCAAGATTAATTTTATGGTGTCTTCCACCAGTATAATAACGTACCATTAAAGAGAAGGACTAGTGTGCTGTCATACTACATGAGCACTGAAGAACAAACATACTAAAGTTAGCTAACATTTCAAGGTAATGCATAAAAGTAGTGATAAACTCTGACATTATTTTCCTCTTTTATGGTAGGGGATACTGAGTTGCTATCAGTTTAGACTGCTGACAAAATACAGCCAAAGGAGAACTACAAAATCAGCTACTCGAACTTAAGATCAATTACTTGATCCTGCTGAAATGTCAGGAGGTTTTTACTCCTTTAATTGAAAGTTTTTGTAGTTTGGAAATTTGAGTGGTTTACCAGTTTCATTTTTTTCTTTCCAGTATTCTAAGTAAAATATACACATATGACTTATCTCAAGGTGCAGCAGTTTCTCCAAAGTTGTAATGGTTAGTATGAAGTATTTGCAAGCTGTAATTAGAAAAGAATTTCCAACAAAACAAATACTCCAACTAAGAACGATTAAGAAAAAAATGTATATGAAAAATACTAGTCTGTACTGTAAAATTCTACATCTTGAGTTAAAAGACCCACTTCAAAGTAATATAGCATTTAAAATGAAACATGCCACTATTTGCAGACCTAACAGTAATAGAGTAAAAATACTACTAAAAGAAATAACCAAATTGGAGGAGAGGGGTGAACAGAGAAACCTTAAAATGAACCTCAAAGTGTAGACCTAAATGTGCCTCACAGTTCATTTGATCTCCTAGCAAGCTATTCACAAATTCTTCTGAGTCAGTAATTTGAACTGACTGTTAGTCAACAGATTATGCAGAGGCAAACATGTTACGACTTTGAATAAAAAACCCTCCTACAAGTCTGAACAGCCTACTTCCTCCCACAGGAGACAGCTTTTAATCCTCAACTTTTACTAGACTTGCCATTTAAGGAAAGATTCATTTACAGCTGTGGCTTCTGGCACAGACAGATGTTCAAAATAAACTATTACATGTCCCAAACAGAATTTTAAATTTATTTTTTCCCCCCTCTAGTAGCTACTCACACAAACCTGTTAAGAAAGGGATCAGAACTATTTGTAGTCATTGTTCTCAGTTCCTGAGACATTCCAGGAGATGACACGGGATTTTGTGATCCACCGTCTTGTTCCATTGTTGGAAGCTGGCTACGGAGAGCCAATTCCTAGAACAGGGGGGATTAGGGAGAAGAGACAGAAAGATCATGTTAGGCATTTGAGCAAACTTTTTAGATACATAAACACATGACATTATGGGTATGCTTTTACTGTACCCATTTACAAGATTTAAATGAAATTATGTTTCTGAAGACCAAGGAAGAATTTTTACTAGCTTCAATGATAATCAAAGTTCCACCAGCCAAGCTCAGTATTAAAGAGACTTCACTGTAAATGTTTTTATGGTATAAATATCTGCATGTTTACATAATTCTTTTCTAGTTCATTTTGATATCCTTTTGCTAAGTCTATTCTGAAGATCCAAAAAAGAATTTTTAACGTTATCTAAGACACATCTGTCTAGCTCTGCTGACTAGCATTTTTTCCCCATTTTAAGTTCTGATCTAGACCCTTTCTGCTTCGCTTTTTTGTTCAGCCAAGTTTAGTGTCTTTTCCTACATGTTCAAATTCACTCCTTCTGTTTGAGGCATGCATTTTGAAATTTCTGATTGTCCAAATCAGTGATTTGCCCTGTATGTAAGTCTTTAATTTGCATAAACTTCACTCCCATTACTGTGGATTATTTTACATATTCCTTTAATACCAAGTTTCATATATTGTACTAGGTTTTCTCACTCCTGTTGACTAGACCTCTGCAGAAAGTGTACAAACATACCACTGGGTTTTGTATTCCTCACACCCATTTGCCTGCTTCAAGTAAAGCCAGTCCTCTGCTCACCATCAATTACTTGGTCACTGTTCTAACAAATAGTAATAATACTCCTCCTCATTTTCAGATCATAGGATGGCAGGCAACTTTTAATCAGTTCTTTAGGTTTACCTGTATTATTTTCCTTCGCTTATGTAATAAAACGAAGTGCAAAGACTATATAGTTAGTCTTACTTCACAGCCAAGTTTACAAACTTCCATCAGTCACATCAGCTGTGATATAAGGTGGTTTATTTATATATAGGTGGACTCAATCAATTTTTTTAAAAAAGGAAGTTTTACTTCTTGAAATGCTTCCCAAATGGTCATCTGAAGACAGCAGGTCTTAGAGCAGCCATCCCTGAGATGGGTCAAGAACTGCTCACTCACATCATGATCTTTATGCCCTTCCTCTGGAGACTGGGATTCTTCCAAATGTCACCTGAGTCTTCCTTTCTCTGAGAAACTGCCTTCCCATGATGCAACTACTTTTAACTTACTTGTCCAATAAAAACGGAGGGAAAACAAACAAAAAAACAAAACCTCTTGATTTATAGAATTATAGAAATGTTTTGGTTGAAAAAGACGTTTAAGATCATAAAATCCAACCATTAACCTAGCACTGCCAAGTCCATCATTTTGTACCACTACTTCTAGAATCTCTTCAGCCTTATGTTCATACCTGGAATACAGGACACCTTCCTTCTGCACTCTGAAAGCAGGGCTGTCAAACACTGAGTGCTCTGCTCTTAGGTAGCTACAGCTGCCTGGCTGTGGCAAGAACACTCTGTCCTTTCCCCCTTCCCCTTGCTTTGATCTGTGCTTTGCATTTTTATTTCCTTGGGCTGCAGTCCCTGATTAGGATGAAAAGGAGAGGCCTAAAGTGCCAGCAGTCTGTGGAAAAAGCTTAATCATATACCAGTGGCCCAAAGAGTGATGACAACACAAAACCAACATGGAGTCATTTCTGAATATTAAGCACACTGTGTAGCAGGCCTGGTCTTTCCAATCAGCACTACCTCCTGATGCAATACTTAGAAAAAAAAAAGGCAAAAAAACCACAACGAGACAAGAAATACATTAAAGTCCTGTTTTCAAGACCTATTGACACCAAAAAAACCATAATTCTCCTCTGTACCTTAAGAAAAAAGTCAAAGAATAAACAATTTGGAAATATGAGAAAATTACCTTTATATTTACTAGACCCTTAGAGGGTAGGAGAGATTGAAGCTTCATCAAAATGCAAACTTTTAAAAGTATGGTAAAAATAAATGTAGTTCAGATACTAGCTGGCTACAAAAGAAAAATCACATTTCATTGAAGGCCCACTAAAAAAAAGAAGTACTAAACCAAGAGAGAGAGTTGTATATTGCTCATTTTTTGGCACGTACATTGAAGTTAAATAAATCTTTTTAATATTAGTAGCAGTTTTATTCCTGTTTCAACAACAACATTGCTAAAAATGTAAAATTACAGCTATTTTTAACTATAAGTACTATTACTGCTACTTATTCTGGAGACAGAACTACAGCACTTCCCTCTAGAAAGAATGTTATTCCATTACTCATTCAAGTAATAAATTCATGTCAATCTGGGAGTCTGAAAGAGAAAGGAATTCCAAAAAAAGATGAGCTATTCAGAAACAAATATAGAGCAACTTTTAATCATTCCATAAGATAAGCAAGGTTTTCAACAAGACCTAAAGAGTGTATGAAGACCAATTCTTCCTGAAGATGCATGTAATGGAAACTAAACTTGCATTGCTTCAAGAACAGTCTTTTAATTTCTTCATTATGAAACTGATTTTCAATTTAAATAATGCTTCCTATACTTAAAAAAAATGTATGGGAGTGTACAAGCCTGTCTCGGCTCCAAACAGAGCAATGTGAACTACAGGCTTCTAGGTCATGCTTTAAAATAAATCCTTTATTAAAAGTATTTAAAGTCTGGAGGCACAAATAAAACTATGAAAAAATCCTGGCTTATATTTCTATAACTTGATCTCATCCTGTTTTTGTAAGTATGTCAAATTTCTTTTAAGTACCTCTGGGAAAAGAAAAGCTCAGCATTCCTATTGTTAACACAGAATTTTGATTATTACATAAAGACCAAAATGATCTGTCATCTTAAGCAAAATAACTTCAAAAATAAGGTCAGCATTGTGTAATTTATCTGGCTGACCGTATCCATTTTTGTTTCATAATTGCATACAGATTAAGTTTTACATGAAGTTCCAGGTCTTTCACACCATGTCCAAATTAACTTTATGAAGGTTAGTCTTTTCAGAACATTTTTATCCTCATCACACTTTTGCAGAAAGGTAAAAGACTCCCTCGTGCAGCTCATGTATCATATTCTTACTGTATTAAAAATATTTTATGCTTCTCAACTTAAATAAATATGGGAGGTTTGGTAAATTTACTCTAAAAGGGCCAAGTGTAACATTTCTGCCCCCAAACACTGTTCAACTATGAAACAATCTACAGGCTTCATGGGGATGGGAGTGAAGCATTAGAGGAAAAGGAAAAAAATTACACTTATGGGCAGAATTACAGCACCAGTTATTTCTTCAACCTAAGTATTTACATTCTTGTTTGAGGTCCACAAAGTTACAGCATATGTCCAAAAGACACAAGGAAAACACATGGCAAGATGAAGACAAATTAAACAATGAGGAGTTATGCAATTATTGAAGAGAAAGGAGGACATATACATAATTCAGTGTTGCAATAATGAAAACTAGCAAAACTAATTTAAGAGGTGATACTGGTAAGAGTGATAATAATTGCATTGTATACACTTGGCAAAGAACTCAGTGTTACACATGGCACTGCAAGTTCAGATAAGGCAGCACAAATTGGAATAGACATTTGTAATTGTTTTGCAGTCCTTTGCTGTCCACTGCTGCATACTCCTCTTGCTGTTTCTCTGCCCCTGGCTCCAGCAGTGCAGCTGCCCAGCCAGGGTGTCTCAGAGCACCAGGCAGGCAGGTAACGTGTCAGCAGGAGACAGCGACCACAAATGAAGGCCAAGCAGAGCTGGATGCCCTCCATCTACCAACTTCCGCTCCTTCTAGCAAAAGCTGTTAATCACAGCCATCTCATACTCAGGTCACCATGACTCATAGCTTCTGCTGACCAATTGCTTTAACAGTACTTCTGCTAACCAATTGCTTTAACAGTACTTCTGCTTGTAAATGCAAGTAGCATCAATGACTCCAGGAAATCCACTGCAGTGAGCTACAGCTCCTATACAGACACAAAATGTGTTCTGAAGCAATTATAGGCAATAAAAACCAGACCAAGGCAACTTATGCAGATCTTATTTACTCTGTAGGCATTTAGACAGGGTATTTAACCATAAAGATCTATGTTAAAAAGCAAGTAATAAATTATTTTTTTAATCTGTAAAGGTTGGGTGCTCTGAGTCAAATCACAGCTTCTCCATTTTCCATTTACTCATATAATGCAAGCATCTTTCCTGCTGTGTAAGCTCCTGATGACAAGCATTTCTCAATCAAACCAACAGTGTGGAACTCAAATTCTACAGCTCTTGCTACATCAAGTAATAAACGAAGTTTCACTTAGATACATGGTTTTCAGTAAGAAATTAAATACCTACTGTTTCCGACAATGAAGAACATTTAAAGCACTTAGACCACAAGATGGCTGAACAACAGCAATGGTGCTTTTGCAGTAAAACTACACTAATTCCACATTTTGTGTATTTTGATGGCAGACAACACACCCTTCTCCCCAAAATCCAGCTATTTAAGACTGTCTTCCAATAACACTTGCCTGTTAACATCTGATCATGTTTGCCTTTTCTAGGTACTACTTTAAAGTAGTACCTTATTGTACTGCTCATCAGAAATACTGAAGACTTAAATAATAGTTAGGTCAAGGAACAGCACCCTTATTTCTACAGGACATCCAACTCCAAGCTGAAATTCCCAATACTTTGCCAAGACTTTCTGGTTTATTTAACAGCTTTCAGAAGAAGCAGTTTATTAGTCCAGGCAGAAGATGATGTGTTCCTTGATCTCTTAATCACTGTTAGTCTCAACCCAGAGGCAATTCCAAAGTGAATTTTTAATGATAGTTGGCCTTTGACTGCCTATTCTTATTCCTCCCCTCAACTGGAACTAGCATTTGTCTGGCTGTACACTAAGACAAGTCAGAAAACCAATCTTGCTGAAAAATAATTTTCCTGATAGATGAGATGTCTGATCTCTCTTGCAGTTTAGCCACACCAATGTTTTTTCATAACCCAGTAGCTGAAACAATGTTAGACACATCCTGTTCTGCTGCCTTATTCTTAAGGCAATCTCTGGCAGACAGCTCAGTTTCATGTCTTAAAGTGCTGCAGTTCAGTTTGCCAGAGCACATCTACCAGACCCCTCAATCAGAAGTCATTTTATTAAAACCCAAATATTTTCCTTTAAAATTACCACACAACTCCTCAGCTGCAATTTATAGCCTCAGTTTATGATGGCTCTGGACAGCTAGTTAAGTGTTCTCCTAGATTGATTTCTAAAGCCACGGCACTGCATAGATGTGCTGTCTTACCTGTAAGCCTCATGGTGCTCCACAACAAAGGTCTGTACAACTGATGCAGAGTAAATGAGAGGTACTTGACAGATTACCAGAACTAACATTCAGCAACCTAAAATACAAGTGCTTTCCTAGAAACAGATGCTTATATAAATTAGAGAAAATATGCTAAGGTTTGTTATTACACATTGAAATTACTGGCAGCTGCATGGTATGCTGATCTTACCAGCAAATACCCTAGTATTAATGGCAAACAAGTAAGAAATCTTCCAGTCTTAGCACAAGAAAGTAGTCTGCACCACATCCAAGAATAATGCCATCTCTCTCCATTATATACTTGAAGGCAAGAAATCCATTACCTAGCCAATTTTATGGTGTATACAGAAGTTGACTGACATCTATTTCAGGTGAGACACTATTGACATCCAGATACTAATCGAAAGAAAATGGAAGGCAAGTTACTGGGTATGGAGAGAAAGCCAAGGCATCTTCAGATGATTGATGATGATGAGCATAAGTAACTGGACAGATGCTTGGTGGTTTCAAATTCCCTGCATGTATCAATAGCTCTTGCTTACACACAGTAAGTATGGAAAAATAAAATTTTTCCTTCAAATATTTCTGACTTGGACATTTTTAGAATTATAGTAAGATACATCTTCATTCAAACAAGAAGAGTCCTTTACAGTATGTGCTACAAAAGATGAAGCTCAGCAACTGTTTAATCTTTTCAGGAGGTATTTAAGTGCTGAGGCCTCCATACTCTCCTCACTGAGTGTGAGTGTCACTACAGGATACTGTGTTATCCTGGCAGAGATAAAAACTGACAAGGACACAATGCCCACTCAAAACAAACTCATGCTTTTCTTAAAAAAAAAACACCAAAACAAAACCTGACTGAAGATATTGATACAAACGTGCCACTGTATCCAGGTTACATGGACAAAAAAAGTCCAGAAGGAAGAGGATGGTGCTCTGGATGCAGCATGCCAGACTAGATGACCTCCACCAGTCCTTTCCAACCCCCTTGACTATGTGATTAAGAAAAGCTGAGAGATCCAGTTAAAAGTTCAGGAACACTTATCAGGATTTTTTATCTATATATGAGAGATCTTCATTAGAGGCAAGCTTCAAGAACGCTGCTGTCACAGAACTTCTTCACCGTCTTCCCAGAATTAAGAGCACTGAACAGAAGAAGATTTTAGTTTCAGTATTCCTTAGAAGAATACCTAAAATTTAGCAAGAGAAATTATTCTTCTTCCCTCAAGCACAGCCTTATCATCATGAAAGCAGCTAATTCCTCTAAACTTCATTAATTTTATTCACAAAGGAAAGAAAATCTGTCAAAAAAGAAACATTTGACCAAAGAAATGTCCACAGATTCATGAGGTTGACTGTGATTTGATGGGATGTAGAGATTGGGACTTCAATAGTAACACTGCTGGAGAAGACAGACAACATTTGTCTCTATAGTAGGCCTCAAGAAGCATTCAGAGACCAATTTCCAGAAGCAGTTATCTAAGCACTTTCTTCTACATGTGGCTGCTCCCTACATTACTGAAGTGACACGTGAAAACACAAAAAACACACGTAGATGATAAAAGTACTATAATACCAGATTATTCATGTAAATTGACATGATTGCCTACTGTTCAACCCACCAGATCACTTAAACATAGCTTGAGTCATTAGCACAGACTAATAAAACTGAACCCAGCAGGCAAGTATACAAGTGAGCCTGGTATGAAGTTGCCAGTTTAAATGTAACTGGAATCCTGATTTCTGCATAAATCCTTCCATCAGTTCCCATCCCAAACAAAGCACAGTTAACACTACCTATACACGTAATGAATTATTAATACAGTCCCTTTGATTTTTTCCATCTTTTTAGTGTTTTAAGCCAGAATGCCAAGAAGTTCCAAAAATCTGATCTTGTAAGTTTGAAACTGCTTCTGAAGTTCTCCATTTGCTCATATTTCTGAGTTGGCAACAGGAAGAAGTTAATGTGGAAGAGTAAACAACTGTATGATGGGACTTCATGCATACAAGAAAACACAGAATACACTTTTGGCATTCAGTTAAGAAAAACAACCTTTCTGAATGACCTCATTGTGGTAGAAGATAAGGTGTTTCCAACTGCTGGGGAGGAGTATGCTTCTCTGTTTATTCCCTTGTATACCAGCAATCCTTAAGGATATTTTTCCTCCTCCTTCTTAATAGGATCTAATATTGATCAAGGAGATCACTATGTGGTTAATGTTTTATAAATGAATCGAGTTACTATGTCTCAAATAAAATGCTTCTATTTTAAAGCTGCACTGATATTACCAAACAAGAAGGTGTTTTTTTCCAGGATGTAAGTACTGTTTCCAGAGGTCTAAGTTTTCTGTTTTGAAGATGATTTCAGGAGAAACAGTAGTGTACAAATTTTGTGGTACTCTTCAGAATGCAATAGCACACCAGTACTCACAGCTTTCAAAAACACAATTCTTCCTTTTATTCTGGGTTTTTTTTTTTTAGAAAAACAAGGTGCAATACAAGCCAACCTAAATATTTTCCTTAAAATCAGTAGATTAATGCTGTTAGCAATAGCAAGCTCTCTGAATAGATCCATAAATACATCCTTTCAAAGATTTATTCTATATGCAACTTCTTAAAAGCCTATGCTATGCTTATTATGCTTCCCATTTTGACCAATTTTCTATTGGTCTAACTTGGGAGGCTTTTCCGAACTGGTGTTTCCTATACAGAAAATCTTTATGTTCAGAAGTCTGTTAAATGTCAAAATGGAATAATCACACTTTAAATCACCACAGCAATTTTAGTCTAATATATTAAATAATTCAGTTACACTGCACATGCTTAAAAATCATAAATATTTCAAGTGACTTTTTATTAGCTGATTAAAGATATCCTTAAGATCATACCTGTTTAAACAAACTGATAAGAGCATTCATATGTACAGTACTTAAAAGTCACAAACTACTACCTTAGATATAATGGGAGGTTTGCTTTAAATACACGTCTTGATGGCATCAGGACTGGAACAGCAGTATCCTCAAGAATGCTTAACAAGAAGGTTGTTTTCAATGCAGAAAAACGTGCAATTAATTCCTCATTTGCTTTTAAAGATCGATATCAAGTAGTGGTAATGCAGCACTCTTAAAAACAAAGTCAGGGTTGTGACTAGAGAAGTGGTCAGAAAACGCGCATGGCCGAGCTTGGTTTGCGGTTGGTTTTTTTTTGTTTTCCTTTTTAGAAGGCCTTCATGTAGCAAAAGTTCCTCTGCTAGCCTACTGTAATGCTTTCATTTTTCTAATTATGCTGAAACATCAGTTAAGAGCCTACCTGATGTTTTGGAGAATTTGCTGTGCTGGGATTGTTATTCCGCAATGCCTAAGAGTAAAAATAAGATGGATAACAATTACTTTAGCTGCATGGTTTGCGTATGCAGGCTGTCTTATAAACACCATCTTGTAGTATCAAGCCCCCAAGACAGGCCAGATGAGACAGGATAAGGGAGTTAAGAAACTAAGACACAGTGAAACCAAACTCGCAGATTTACCAAGGATGCATATTTGACAGATAAGCTTAACGACCAAGGAGAACAACATGAAAGGAACTGGCTGTCACCTGGTCCAAAGTTAGTCAGGTTCTCAATGACATCTGAGGCAAGAGGACAATTAGAATGCCTACCTAGAAGCATGCTAGCACAGGGTAAGATATTTGTTGGTAGATTAATAGCAAAGCAGCAACAACAGCAGAAGCCCAGGTGCTTAAGCAGAAAGTCCTGATGCAACCTTTGCAATGTATTCTTACCTAGAGTACTATAAAAAGTAATGGCGTAAAGATAACCCATCTTACACCAAGAGATGCTGAAGATTCCTACAAAACAGGTCTTGACTACAAAGGGGATAACAAAGGAGAGTCAGATTCCAGGACAGAATGCTTGCAGCTGGTCAAGAAAGAGAAAAGGCTGTCTTTAAGGACATTACCGTCTCCTGATACAAGGCCCATCACCCAAAGTGAAAAGGGAACAGGGTAAGATTTTTAGAAGGTTTTCCTCAAAGAAATGATTAGTGCTTTCTCTGATAGTGTCAAAAACCCAAATAATATCCAAAGTATCCAGCACAGATGATAGTAACTCTCAAAACATTCAGATGGAAAAACTGAAGCAAAAGGCTTAAAGTCAAAAGGAAGTCAAGCCCAAATTCAAAAATCCAGAGATTCCAATGTCCAGTCCCTACACTTTAACATTTATTACAGCTGTATTCACAGAGTAGGAAAATACTGAGAGGAATAGCTTGCAGCCTAATTATGAAGTCTGAAATTCTTTAGCATAACACCACCACAGGTTTAAAATGTAGCACGAATGGTTCAGTTGCTCCCTGCCCCATTCCCACTGTTTAACAGGTAAGATTTTAGCAACAAGGTGTCTCCTCAGTGAATCTCACATAAACTTTAAAAGTACTTTGAAATCCTACAGACTGCAACATGTTCTAAAAGTGAAAGACTTTCCTCCACTTAAAAGGAAGAACCAAAGCAGCTGTGGGAACCAACTTTGTGTCTTTTTGCGTGACTCGGAGCTCAATGAATATGCAATATATTCCCAAGAGCAATATCCAATCAGATCAACAGTCCATGATTTCATCATAATAGTAAAGGAGCCTGTTCTTGGAGAGTTTTGTTTGAGAGAGGAATGAGGAAGGAAAGCAAAATCCTTCAGTCTGAGAAGTCAGATGCTTTCATTTCCAAGCTGGTATCAGTAACTGAGTTCAGACCTTTTTCAATCTCCAAACTTTTTGTACAGTCACCATTCTTCAAGACTCACTGAAACAACAACTTAGCCAAAACAAAACATACAAAAGAAAGAGTGGAAGTAGGTGTCTAACCTGTGGCCTCACCTGCCGAAGCAGTTCTTGATGCTTCAGTCTCAGCCTTTCTTTCTCCATCTGTAGCTGTTGAAGTCTCATTTGTTGTTGTTGATTAGAGCTACTCCCACCCATCACACCACCTTGGGGACTCTGAGGAGCCAGAGGGGGTGGCTGTTTCACTGGAGCACTTTGGCTGATTCGCTGATTCATGGCTAAGGAACCAAAACAATAAGCGTTTAAAACGGAAATTCAGAAAAATACATGCTAGGAAAACATTATCCTTAGAAAGTATATTTAAAAAATTTTATAAAATTACAAGCCATGACAGTAAAAAAGATGCAGCTACAATGATGTTGCATGTGAACGTGTGTAATGTACGCTTAAACATGTTATTCTTGTGAAATCAATGCAACACTCACGTTTAAGAATATGTACTTATTCTAAAAGCTTCTGAAAAGTTACATGTGTAAGTTGCTGAAAAATTCAAAACTATTAAAATATTTCAAGTTTAACTATCTCTCCTTCCTATTAAGCTACTCTCAATTTAGACACAAATAATGCAGCATCACTTTTCTTATTGATGTGAAATCTTAGAATAATTAAACTTGAAAACACCTAGAATCACAAAACAGATCACCTCACTTCTATCAAACCATATTTCATTTAAGGCTACAATTCTTCCCCATGTGGTGCAGGTCATGCAACAATCATTCACATCCTTGTCACACAAAGTTTTCAATGTTACAGACTCTAATTACTGCACATTGACATGCAAAATTAGAGCTTATATAGAAATGGTGGATTCATGGCAACCAAAGATACTGCCATTAACACAGGAAACATGTAGTGCTTCATTTTATTTTACCCCACAGAAGTACATGATGTATTTTTTCTGGGATGTGGAGAAGAAAAAGTGTCACCTTGTACACCTAACGCACAATGAGAACCCATGTCTCCTTTCCCCATAAAATCAAGACCTAAGACAATTTTATTTTATAAAATAAAGCATGACAGATGTATCCACTTGACAGGTATGATTTTGTTTCCTGACAAGAGAACAGCATGTTTAAAGTCAACAGACACTGAAGAGAGGGGGGGAAAAAGGCTGAATGTATTACAAGGGCATTATTTTCAGGGACTTCGAGTTTTGGAATTAGCTTTCCATCTTGTTGTCTGAAACAGCCTGAATCTGTTAACATTCACAATATGCTGGCGAAAGCATTGCCAAAGCAGTGATGGGAGAGTTGTAGGGATTTGTTTTACTTTTTTTTTTTTTCCTGAAAATGAGGATTATGGTTGATGGGAACTAAGAACAAAAAGGCAGTAAGCTTCTTTTAGGATGACAGGCTGATTTGGTACAAAGAAAACCATCTGTTGTATTAGTTTGCATTAATGTTCTCATCATATATAGAGAATTCCTTGAACACTAACACTTTCATCACAAGAAAGGAGAATTATCTCATAAAGAAGCTGTATCATCTTTTCTCTGAAAATCCCTTCAGCCTCCACTGCCTTTTTGAGTGTTCAACTCAAGGTACAGTAGTGCTTTTCTTCTGCTCCAAGAAAGCCTAAATATATTTATCTAATAAAAGCAGTAAAAATGGCAACTGCCTTGCTCCCTTTTCCCCATGCCATAGCTTTTCTTTCCATTGAGAGATAACATATATGGAAGAAATGTCATATGCTTACTTGGGCGAGAAGAGGGAAAAACAAAGTCAAAGCCAGTCACAGACTCAACTCTCTAGTCCACCCTTTCAACTATCTCACAGGTCCAACAGGGTCAATAGTCTAATAAACAGCTGGGTCACATTTTCCTAAGTCATGTCAAAATAAAAATAAGTGTCAAATAGCTCAAAGCAATTTGAAATAATCTGTTCTGTAGTCACTTGTGAGAGTGCTCCAGACATACAATCACAAGTAAGAAACTTTCTGTAAAGGTAAATAAATGGGTAAAGTAGGAATAGAAACTGAATCCTTGTAGAAAAGTTGATCAGGTATGGGTTTGGTGATCAGGAAGTGAGGTGGATTAGGAACTGGTTGAAAGGAAGGAGTCAGAGAGTTGTAGTCAATGGGGCAGAATCTGGTTGGAGGTGTGTGACTAGTGGAGTCCCACAGGGGTCGGTACTGGGACCGGTGTTGTTCAACATCTTCATCAACGACCTGGATGAGGGTATAGAATGTACCCTCAGCAAGTTTGCTGATGACACTAAGCTGGGAGGAGTGGCTGACACACCAGAAGGCTGTGCTGCCATTCAGAGAGACTTAGATAGGTAGGAGAATTGGGCGGGGAGAAACATGATGAAATTCAACAAGGGGAAGTGCAGAGTTTTACATTTGGGGAAGAACAACACCATGTCCCAGTACAGGTTGGGGGCTGAACTGCTGGAGAGTAGTGTAGGTGAAAGAGACCTGGGGGTCCTGGTAGACAGGAGGATGACCATGAGCCAGCAATGTGCCCTTGTGGCCAAGAAGGCCAATGGCATCCTGGGGTGCATTAGAAAGGGTGTGGTTAGTAGGTCAAGAGAGGTTCTCCTCCCCCTCTATTCTGCATTGGTGAGGCCACATCTGGAGTATTGTGTCCAGTTCTGGGCCCCTCAGTTCAAGAAGGACAGAGAACTGCTCGAAAGAGTCCAGCGCAGAGCTACGAAGATGATGAAGGGAGTGGAACATCTCCCTGATGAGGAAAGGCTGAGGGAGCTGGGTCTCTTTAGCTTGGAGAAAAGGAGACTGAGGGGTGACCTCATCAATGTTTACAAATATGTAAGGGGTGAGTGTCAGGGGGACGGAGTTAGGCTTTTCTCGGTGATGACCAGTGATAGGACAAGGGGTAATGGGTGTAAATTGGAGCATAGGAAGTTCAAGGTGAATATCCGAAAAAAATTTTTTACTGTGAGAGTGACAGAGCACTGGAACAGACTGCCCAGGGAGGCTGTGGAGTCTCCCTCACTGGAGACATTCAAAACCCACCTGGATGAGTTCCTGTGTGATGTACTCTAGGTGACCCTGCTCTGGCAGGGGGGTTGGACTAGATGATCTCTCGAGGTCCCTTCCAGCCCCTAAGATTCTATGATTCTATGATTCTATGAATCCTAAGTAGAAACAGCAGAGCGAATGCAAAGGGCTGGAGGTTCAGCTTCAACCTACAAGTCCCACCCTGATCCAGAGTGTGGGGCGGGAAATACCAGGAAGAATGACACTGCAGTGGATTTAACCTTAAAATTAAGCAGTTGATCTTACAAGACATCTTACTATTGAAACTGGTCTTTAGGAAGGAGGCAGCCAGGATGAGCAAATCAACCAGCTTCGCAAACACTAGAAACTTAAGCAAAAGTTTCAACAGCACCAACAGCTGTCCTGCAAGGATGTGAGCCGTGAACTGTAAGCTCCAGGACCTCCACTGGACAATCTCTGCTACAAGACTAACAGCAATTGACTGCCTACACTTACCAAATTAGACCAAAGTTGAAGCTAAAGAGAGCAATGCAACAAAGAAAAGCAGCTGACCTAGCAGCTCAACACAAGCTGGACATGACAAGCTGGAGTGGGGAATACATGTCTTCCTTTTTCTCTTTTTACTCAAAATCCTACCAAGTCTGGAATCAGGATGATGCCTTTTGATTTTTATATCTCACTCTCTTTCACCTTAAAAGCAGACAATGAAGGGGTTAGTAGGTGAGGACAGAAAACAAAAAGCCTTCTCTTGCTGTTAGCTGATTCCGTAACTCAAGCAGAAGTCTGTGCTACGCCTCAGAAGCTCCAGGATTCAAACCCTGTTATTAAACAAGATGGAAGGTCAATTACACTGGAAAGTAAAGAGGGACAAAGGTTAAAAAATTACAATCACCTGAAAGAAGGACTTCTAAGTTAAAAGCAAACTACCTAGATTGTAAAAATTAAGTACCCAAAGCTGAAGACTGCCAATTTTCTTTCTGTTTAAAAAGGCCACTTTTGTAGTCTAGTCTCCAATTATCCAACCATGGTTTTGGGAGTCCCTTCCTCTTGCAGTTCACAGCCAAGTCATGCTACAGATGACCTCATGCAAGTTTAACAGTTTCTAACCTTAAATACTTCTTAAGTGTTACAATATCACTAACAACCCTTCAACATGTTAGAAATTTGTTTTTCCTTCATGTACCATACCAAAGAGACCGAGGTCTCTTTCCCTCTAATATATAGCTCTAAAAATAATTTCTCTCTCATGCCGAGTTCTTCATATTATATATACCTGTATCTTTCTCACAGCTGTTTTTACTATTCTTGATCTCTCTGATCACAGTTTGCTTCCCATCTGCCAAGTTAGCAATTAAAACTGTAAGACACCCTATTATGTTTGTCTGTTTTCTTTTTATTTTATTCCATCGTCATAGATCAAAAAAACGTCTTGCAATGTCCACTGTGTTAAAGTAATCTTTCTAAATATATGTGTATCTAAAACAATATCTTAAGATACTAAGACTTCTGTGTATACTTAACATTTGCCAAGAAATATTGGGGGGAAATTTCATTTTCACTTAGTAACTATTCAGAAACTGAATCTAAACATGTAGTTTTAAATTCTGATTCAGGAATCCATTACAAGGATTTTTCTGAGCATTTTTACTATTTCAAGCATGCAAGTTCAAAAGTCTTCCAACTGACAAGATTTTAGACTGTCCTCAGAACAGACTATGGAGATGTTTTTATGTAAGGGAATTACTTTTAAACGAGAAATTAAACTACCAAGTTTGTACATTAAAGAAGACATTGCTAATTGAATGTGACTGACTAACAACATACCCAAGTGAAAAACTAGCAAAAAAAACCCCAGAAGTAAGAACACCAGATTACTTTCTGCCATCTTGGCTGATTACACAAGTGTGCTATCTTCAAGGGAAACAGCTCATTTTCTATAATTTCCAGCACAGTATCTAATGAAAAGAGGAAAAACACATATTGCTCCAAGTGACAGGAACAAAAAGAGAGCTTAAAAGTCTTTTTTATTGTTGAGTTGGGTTTTTTCTTTTTGTTTTGGTTTTTGTTTGTTTTGTGTGTGAGGGTTTTTTGGTTGCTTGGGTTTTTTCAGGTTTTTGTTTAGTGTTGGGGTTTTTTGTTTGTTTGTTGGGTTTTTTTAATTCTCAATTCTCCACTACTTACTGAGGACATACATGACTGCAGAAATCTGAACTCTAAAGAATATGCTTATCAATGTGATCTCAGATAAGCACATTTTATT